AAAAATCATTATTTTGGTTAATAACATTCTAATCGAGACAAAAGAGTTGCTAGAGTTGTTGTCTGGATATCGGGAACTACAAGAAAAATTTCTACAATGATTATCGCTACATTTAATCACCAATTATCTTGTCAAAAATGAAAAGTTTACGAAGAGCCAGAATGGAGATAATGGAAATCTATCGTTTTTTTTACCCATAATCATTTACTATTGAGAATGTCGCTACTGGCAATAAAAGTGATTAGTAATAAGATGACCAATTTTTTACAATGAAAAGGAGAGTGAAAACTTTAAGAAAAAATTTACAAAATAAATATACGAAAAAAACATTTTATAAATTCAAAAAAAATATGCGTTAATTATGCTTACTTTTCTTTCAATTATTTACTTAAAAGAATATTATTCCATTGAATGAATTTTTTTTGTCAGTATATCATTTTCTAATATATCGGAAATTTGGGAACAAGAAATATCCTTCATATTGAATTTTACGGTAAGTGCTGCTGCTAAAGTATCAACATTCTATCTTGATTTCTCACTTGTCCAAAAATCATAACCAATTAAAAAAACTCTTTCAACTGCTGCATTAGATTAAGCTTATTCAAAGTGGTCACAAGAATAGCTAAATTTTCGCATGGAATGTATTCATTTTTGAAATGGTTAAATATTTCCACCCATCTTTTATCAATTTCAACAAGTTATAATTTGCCCATTGTTCCAATTTATTGAAATTTAAATATATATTCAGTTTCCTTCTAATTTCTCCAAACAGACAATTGTCATCGATTTTAATATCAGGCATTTCTTTCGATAAAAACTCAACGCAGTTTTCTAGATCTGCCCATTTTACTTGCAATGAAGTCAAAAAACACAATAGGAAACTTATTTTCTGTGATATTTGTTTCAGACCGTTCTTCAACATATCGAAGACACGTTTGGTAATAATTCTGCACTTTTTTGATAAACTCTTCCGTTATACTCAGATTTTATTCTTCTAAGTTTGACAATTTCCTTTTTCTTGAGGAATAAATGTTTCTTCAAATTGGGATTTTAATTGAAGGACAAAATCGTTCAAAATAAGACCAACTTCTGTAACTGAAATATGTTCACCTTCAATCTTTTGAATCGTTTTGTGGAAAATAGGTGCCTGATTATATACAAATACATTAATATGTCCGATAATTCATACTGTACCGGTACATGACGTGTAACAGTTCGACCTGGCATTTCAGAATACAGAGAATAACAGATTAGTTTTAAAATATTGAAAAAAGGACAAGTAGGAGGACACTTTTCGAGGAAGGATAGAACCCATAAATGTAGGACTGTCCTCCCTAAAATAGGACGATTGATATTTGAGAACAAATACTATAACATAAATAGCATCTACTTAAAAGAGTTGCAAGTAGGGCCGGGCCTACTTTTACATAGGAAACTAGGACTTCAGGAAGAATGTTGAGAATTTTTTCAACATTTGCCATCGGTAATGCCAGTTGCGAGAGAAGCTTCTCTAAGCTGAAATTAATCAAAAATTATCTCAGTCAGTTCGACTATGTCCACGTTAAGGCTAACAAATTTAGCTATTCTGGCAATTGGACATGACATACATATTGGTATTGACAATTGTATAAAAGATTTTGCTATGAAAAAATTATGAAAAGTGCATTTTTAATCAATAAAAAAAACTTAAAGCTGCCTTTTTTTTTTTACTTTTACTAATTTTCTTGACTAATAATTAAAATAGAGGCGACAAATTTACGGTCGGTCCCAGGCGGTGAAAGCTCATGCTGCGCCGCTGTCTCCAGACATTCCTACTTTTGGCAAATGTTTTCCAATTTTTGTCATTTAAAAATTTTGAAGTCTTTTTTCAACACAGTCAATCTATCTTAACGGGGATCTGCCCCGAGGCCTATTTCCCATGGGCTTTGTCAGAAAGATTTTCTTGCAGCAACGATTTTCATTCATTCTAGCCAGATGACCAGCCCATTTAAGTCTCTGTAATTTGACAAATTTTACAATATCAGGTTATTTGTAAATTTTGTAAAGTGCTAAGTTAGATCTTCTTCTCCATGATCCATTCACTTGGATCCCACCAAGAATGCAGCGTAAGATCTTTCTCTCGAAAATTCTCAAAGCTTCCTCATCACGTTAAGTCAATTGCCAAGTCTCTGATGCATAAGTCAGGACAGATCTTATAAGACTTGCGACGGGGCTTTACGCGACTTTCAAATACTAATCCTCTTGGGGAATCTTTGGGCCAGCAATCACGTTTATTTCACAGTCATCCCTCTCAACAAGAAACCATGAGATGCAAATTAGTGTATATAAAGTTAGAATTTAATAATCGTGATTCAGAAGGAGCTGAGTCGCTGAAATTAGTGTTATCATGGTAAGAATTAGAATTACGCATCGCGACTAAAGGACGGCTTTTAGCTACTTGAATAAATTAGTGAATGTAGAAGCATTAAGATAGGATTGCTTAAAAGTTAATCTATTCGGATTTCGTGCGCTTATTCCCTTAAGGTTGTGTTGCTTTCTTTATATCACTCGAAGGGTTCCCTTTGTAGATTGCTTGTTCTGGAATATTATCTTTGATAATAATAAATTAGATTTATCATGGATAGTCTTGGTCATTTATCGTTCCCCCTTACAGCTTTAGGTAGTCAAGATGATGAGGAAGCGACCCCAGGGATAAGATCATTACAGACTTTTGTAAAGAAGCAATTTAGTTCTTAATTTGAGGAAACTGGATTTTAAATACCTCTTCAAGGTGTAAAAACAACTATTTGCAGCAATGATTCTTTTATAAATTTCTGGGGCCACCTCATTTTTATTATTTATCTCGGTTGCCAAATAATTAACACTGTCAACTTTCTTAGCACGCTTTTATAAGTTTCCTCTTTTTTTTAAATTTATAATTTCTATGTGACTAAGTTGTAAGTTGGACTTTAAACAAGGTAAATATTTAGTTTTAATCTCGTTTACAGATAAGTTAAATCTTTTAGCACTTTGTTCTAATGCCATAAATGCCTGTTTAAGAGCTGATGCTGCACGGGCAATAATGTCAATGTCATCAGCATAAGCCCGTATTTGTACTGACTTATTAAAAATATTTCCTCTAATATTGATGTTTGAATCTCTAATAACTTTTTCAAGTGCTATATTAAACAGGAGGCATGCCAAAGCATCCTCCTGTTGCACTCCATGCGGTTCAGTTCAATTCTGGTTTTGTGAAATATGGAGCAACAAAGGCTATTATACTCTAAAAAACTAAAGTATTTATAAATTAATAAATATCAAAATATTTCATTTTCTGGATAAAAATATGAATGTGTGTTAATCTATTGGACATTGCTTTTTCAAATAGTTCTTAGAAAGTAATGTTGTAATGTGGATCAATTTTGAGAAAATGCTTTAGTTGGTTTCGAGGATGAATATATCTATTGCAGTTTAACAAAATGTGATCCAAATCGTTTAAACAATTACAAATTCTACAGTTTGTATTATCTGATAAATTAAATTTTCGTAGAAAACCTGGAGTGATGATCATTTTGCTGAAGATTCGAGTGCACAGGATTTCTTCTCTTCTATTACTTGTTCACTTAGACATCGAGCCTATGTTTGGAATATTGCCCAAGTTTTCAAAATATTTGCTTGAAAAGAAGTTAGCATTTGCTTTTTTAAAACTCTCTAGATATATTTTTTTGCTGATGTCTTCTGAGGCGATCCAGTCGATATAAATAGGTAATTATAATACGACAGAATGTATATCTTGCTAGATAATTTATGGATAACACTATGGGATTTGATCGAATAATTTTGAAGAACAGAGAGACTATCAGATAAAATTAGTAAATTCTTGTTTGTAACTGACCGATCATCTAAAGCTTGGCAGATAGCCAGAGCTTCAGCTGTGAAAATAGAATTATTGGGATCGATTCTATAAGCAAAAGAGGATTTTTCCGTAATACCTGCAATAGATGTAATTCGATCATTTTTGGAAGCGTCAGTAGCTATTATATAGCATGATCTACTGTTTCATCAAATAAACCCCATAACACTCCATTTTTAATCTCAAGAGAAGAATAGTTATTGAACTTTTATTTCATGAGTCAATTATCTGACGGGTGGAGGGGAAACAGAGATGCATTCAATGCTATTCCATTGAAACTGCGTTATCCAATTTCAAGGAAAATATGCAGCGCTAAATATTAGTTTCCATGCGTGTTTATTTGTCAACTACAGTTTCATATAGTTCGATCGATGTCTGTGGTAAATGGCTTACTTCATGTATGCGGAAATTCCACACATCAATTATTACATAATCTGCCTATATTATTGGTCTGTCTCGTCTGAAACTATTTCCTAATTTTACCAAATCTGTTGACAATGGAATAGTTTAATATTCTAATTCTATCTTATTCAATAAAAATATAGACAGAAGGGAAAGTGAAAGACCATAAAGCAGATTATTCAGCAGATTTTTTTTTATGTTAATAAAAGAAGGTTCTTTGTATTTATATCGGTAATACTTTGGATGTCATGTTTTTCGGTTCCTTAGGTTTTAAATAATCAATTATTCTCGTCGCTTAAAGTTATGAACTAGCAATTATTATAGGAAAATGATATATATATATATATATATATATATATATATATATATATATATATATATATATATATTAGATTTAATTCTTCATCGTATAATTCTTCATTTTTTATATTTCAGTAATATAAAAAAAAAAATTGTTTAAGCCATTTCCTACTTAGGTCAACAAAGAAAAATTTTATTTTGTACTTTCTACTAAATAATAACAATTAATATAAATATGTATATACATAGGACAGAACCACAATAATAGGTGGCAAAACCGAAAGTAATTTTCTATTTTCTTTTGTTGGGCCATTATTTTGGTTTGTTACTATTTATTCAATAATTAAATTTAATTATTCCAATAAAATAGTATAGTAAAAAGAAATCACATTCTCAGGAATTGGGACATCCCAGGTGGGATTCCATCTCACAATCCCTGGATAAGAAATCCAGCGCGCTATCCATTGCGCTACTAGGACACAACGAGCGATTTTCCCTTTTATATATGGTGTTGGACTATTATTTTTGTTCGTTACTAAGTATTCATTAATAAATAGAATTGAAATTAATAAAATGCATGTGCTTTTTTTTTCTTTATACACTGTTTAATCTACTTCATACTTAAAATATATACAAAAATTGATACCAACACATACAAATAAACTCCAAATACAGATGGAATTTGGAAAACGCTAAACTTTTTATTATAAATCTCTTTACGAAAAAATAAATTCCGAAAATTGATGTAATGGTTTGTTTTCCCTTCGGCCGAAAAAAAAATTATTTCCTCCAATATTTCTTTTTTTAAACTTATTTTAGGATTTCCGGGTCCCATTTATACATTATTATCTTTCATAATTTGACCTTGAAATTATTTAGTGAAATGTAGAATTGTATAATTTTACCAATTCTCCCGTAAAATTTCAATTATCCTGTTTTTAGTTTTAAGTGACAACAGAAATATCCACAATATAATAATAATAATATGAATTTTATTATTCGTTATTTATATCATAGATTTGTATAAAATATTTTTCAGTAGAAATTAGTTTTCCTTCTTCTCCTTTCATTTTTTTCGTGAACCATTTTTCTAAGAGATAATTATTTAGAATAATAAAATGAATATAATGCTCTTTAGCAGAGATTTATGTTCAACCTTTAAAATCGATTAGGTAGTACTGTTGCAGCGAACTACTCTTAGAAGATAGTTTGTGACAACAGTTAGTAATAATAATCCTTTATTCAGAAAGTAGATACGTACTTGTGAAATGTTCCCGTATTAAATGCTTGCCTTGTGAAATATTCTATGCGCCGTGAGATATTCCTGTCCTGTGAAGAAGTATACCCTCAACAACATAAAAAATTGCAGTTGATTCTTCATTGTGTCCTTTTTTTTTTTTTTCTTTTTTTTTTGCGTTAAAGTGAACACCTTAACTGAAACTTTTAGTACTTCCATACCGTCTACTACGTTATCGTTTGCGCTTCGATAGAATTCGTTTTTCTCTTTCTTTCTTATCTTTTTTTAGAGAACCATTTTTTTTAAATAAATAATTATTTAGAATAATAAAATGAATATTATACTTTTTATTACAAATAAGTTATCATTCTTTCTGTTTCATTTTTTTCCTAAGAACCATTTTCTAATAGATTGTTGTTTAGAATAACAAAATACAATATTAACCTGATGAAGAACTTAAGAATTAAAAAAATAATGTGTTATATCTGAAATTTTTTCAACCACATTGCACGCTTTTCTTTACTATTCAATTTATGTGAATAAATTTTGAAATCTTTGAATCAATTTTAAAAAAAAAAAAGAATTTATCCCTACACATTAGTAATAAGACATTGTGAAAAAAGTAGAAGGAAGAACAAATTAAGTGAAAAAACAGAAAAGAGAGAGAAAAATATTAATAAAAAAAACCGAGAAAAGAGAGAATTATCAAATAATTATTTAACGAATAACTTCATAAAATGGTGAAAACATGATTAAAAAAATATTTATCGTAAAAAAGTTCTTCAAAAACAGGTTGTTAAGAAAAAAAAATCTTTTTATTTAAATTCGAATCTATGTAAAAAAACTGAAACTTTTTAACAGACAGACGGTGTGTGTAGCTGATGAAAGTTCACACCAACAGAAGGGAATTAAGATTTGCAAACGATACAGCAAATTCAAATTCTTTTTTTTTTTCAAAATAAAAAGGTTGTATTATGTTTATTATTTCCCATGACTTTCACCTGCGAGTATCAGAAATTTCAACAGATGTGAGGGAGGGGGAATCGTGAGACTATATGCTGCAAAAAAAGTACGAAATACTTTCCCATACGCCACGAGGTCTATGAATAAACCAATTATTATGCTATTCATAGGGCCACGTGCTTTGGTAGCCCCCATGTTTTGAGGGTTACCAACACTTACGTCGTGCTGACGAACGTAATTCAATTATTGTATTACACTTATCATAATAGTTTCCTTCCTTTTTCGTACGGAGAGTGGCGGTCTGAGTACAAAAGCACTCTTGCACCCTTTATGTCTGCCTGTTTCGTTGCGCGAATCTGTTTTATATAGGTTAGCTAACTCCACAACTTTATACAATTGAATAGAATTAATATAAAAGCGAAATTTAAAGAGATGCAGAAAAATTATAAATATACTTTTGTATATACAGTCGAACCTCCGTATTACGAACCTCTATATGGCGAATTTTCTATATAGCGAATTCTTTTTCTGGGACCAAGAACATTTCCCGATTTTCTTCGTAAAATAACCTCCCAACAGCGAAATGCATTTTCTATGTAACGAACTTTTTCTCTTGTGATTCAATTTTTTTCTCTCTCTATTTTTAAAGTATTTCTGGACATTTCAAGTTATTCTCACTTTGAACACGTTTTAGTAGTTTAGTTATAAAATAATTATGTTTAAAATTACTTGCGTACTTTAAATTAGAAGACATCCTTAAAATTCCTTAATTTTAATTTAAAATTATTTTCTTAATGTTGAAAATACAGTGTATTCCTCGACATTCTTTTTTCTTGTTTAGCCTGCAGATTTTTCTTTTTTTGATGGGTAAGATACATATAAAATAAATATATATTAATTTACAAAAAGATGTGAATAATTATTTTTTTTCAACACATAGTGTTTATGAATTTAAAATTTGTTTTATGTGGTTTATAAAGTATATTAAGGTGAACCTCTATAGAACGAATTTTCCATATAAAGAACTTTTTTCAGGATTTAGCGACTTCGTTAGAGATCCGACGGTAATTATAACTTTATATACAATGCATAAACACTTTTATGGGGAAAACTATTTTTCTCTGCCTTTTTCATTCTAAATTTTAGTCATTTCTTTGTTAGAATACAGAAGAAAACAGTGAAAATAAATTTATTTAATCAAAAATATTTTGTTTGAGAGCAGTGAAACTGAATATTCAATGATGTTAAGAATTGATCGAGATTTCTATTAAAAAACAGGTAATTTCTCTAGATATATATTAGTATTTAAAAAGATAATTTTATACTATGAGAATACAATACTGAATTGATATCAAAATATTCTTACGGTTTAATAGGCAAATATAAATATTATACTATCTTTGAGTACATACAATTGAAGAATTTTTTTTGTGATACTATCAAAATCCAAGCAACTAATGAAAAAAATTAAACTTAAATGCTGATTCGTTTGAGTGTTGTTTATCTTCGTATTTGATTATTATCTAACGTAATTGAATATATCTTAACAATTAAAACAGAAAAATCACACACACAAAAAAATCTGGAATAAAAAACACAAATAAAATTCATCGATTTTTTATTTTAAATTTCCATTGTGAATTAAGAATAGTAAAAAAAATCATGTCAGAAACTTGTTTTATCAAAATAATTTTTTAAAACTTTTTTATCAAATAATATACTTTCAAGACAAAAGGTTTTCAACTAAATCATAAAATACCAGTAGAGTTTGATACAAACTACTTGCCTATATGCGTGTGTGTTAAAAACATTTTTAAGAAATAATTCTTATTATTTTTTTCATTAATATTGCACAATTTAAGGCACATATTACTCAAAGACACATCCCGCACGCCCGCGACCAGCATTAATATCCTATAAATTTTATACTTACATATTTAAATTACAGTTTTAAATTAAACAAATCACAAAAAACAATAAAAAATTCCTCTAATTCAAATCAAAGCAATTGAATCGATTATAACAGGATTTGAATATTATTAGTACTTCAGGTATAAAAAGTTTTATATAAAATGAGATAGATTAAAATTAATACCTTGGAAGTTTTCCCCAAGGTACTTTATCCTTTTTAAAAATATTGTATTTAAGATAGTAGAAACTTATTTAGCGCAAGATATATTTTAAGACACACATATATATATATATATATATATATATATATATATATATATATATATATATATATATACACACACACGAAAGAATGATTTAAACTTTTGACAGTGTTCGACTATAATATATACTTATTACGTTATTTCATAGATGGCAGCACCATTATTTTTCGCCATTATATTAATTCATGACAAAAATACATCTTGTTAGATTTGTAAATTTTCAGGAATATTTAAGATATATAAAAAATAAATTTTTTTATTATTATTATCGAAGTGTAATTGGACTTATGCAACTCGTGGAGATTTTAATATTTGGATTCTTTTAAGAATTGCAATTTTTTTCCAGGAAAGCAATCGCATTACCTCAAAATACAGAATCCCAACAGTTTAATATACACACATTTCAGCTTAAATCTAATTAATCAAATTTTCACACACGTGAAGTCTTTAGAATCTTTTAAATGTGTTGCAGTCCTTAACATCTCAAACGATAATTTCCGATTAAAGTGATTCCCAAACACAAGCTATTCTTATTCCCGACTACGTAACAACCTTCACTCCCTTAATCATATCAAGAAAGGCTGATTGAATATTTATTAACGTAGTTTTTTAAAGTTAAACAAGGGGTATTCTTAAAGAATCTCAAATGTTTAACCACGTTCAAGGAGTGAGAACGGCACTGAGCTGACTTCTCGTTCTCCATTTTCTTGATATTTTTCATGGGGACTTTAATCATCGACTGAATAAATGTGCATTTAGTCCCTTCTTTATAACTGGCTTTTAGTGGCTTCAGGAATAATACCAAGATGGAAATTAAGTTAAAAAGAAAATTCTTCAGAGGTTTAAATGGCATTGTGACAGAAAATGGCGGTCTCTCAATGATTTTAAAATCATTTTTTAATTTGACCTTGTCTTCGATTATTTTTTATGGATTCCTGGTTTACATAAGCATTAAAATAACATATTGATAGATTAACTAAGCATATTTAATATTTAATACAAGTTTTCTTTTAACTGACTCAAATCTTAAGAGTAATTTTGTTTTAGAATTGTCTTCGCCGAATGTTTAAAAAAGTAATATTCAAATTCAGAAATATTCTTAAGG